CCGAAACATTCAATTTTATATTTGAAAGAATGGAACGCAAGCATCTTAATTAATATAAAATGAGAATAAATGGAATAATTTTCTTTCCAAATTTCAAATTTTTATTTAATATTTAATTGTGTTATAAATCAGAATACTTATCCTGATTTTTAAATTAGTATACACATTTTAGTTTGATAATTATTATTAAAAAAATGTTTTTTTATTGTACAAAATTATATAGTTGCCGAAACATTCAATTTTATATTTGAAAGAATGGAACGCGAGCATCTTAATTAATATAAAATGAGAATAAATGGAATAATTTTCTTTCCAAATTTCAAATTTTTATTTAATATTTTATTGTATCATAAATTAGAATACTTATCTTGATTTTTAAATTAGTATAAACATTTTAGTTTGATAATTATTATTAAAAAACAGAATGGTTACTAAATTTGGTAATTTTTTTGTACGATTCTGCTGCGTAACTAACATAACGCATTGCATCGACAATTGGAAAGTCTGCTAGAAAACGCGATCGATCGCGAGTCACGAGAGGGTCGCGTGAAGTATGCGATGATCTGGGAAGGATCTACATAGGAGTGAAAGGGTCGTTGCACACACGAGAGAGAACCTTTGGGGCCATTGACCAGAGGAGCCGTACAGACTCCGACGTCGAGCTTGCAATTGTTCGATTGTCCCGACGCGTGCTGGCCTTAATTTCACGCTCGTCCACAATGACTCATTTTCTCGCGCGTCAAACGAATACATTATTATACTAATCGCGTCATCAGCAGCCTCCCTGTTTAAACATTGCCCTTTTTTCGCCGCGAAACTAGTTTCGAGAATCGCGACACAAAGGGACAATCGTTCAGTCGCGAAGCCGAGTATAATCAGCTGTTTCTATATCGTCGAAACAAGAATATGAAATACTGCGCTCATTTTCTCCATGTAGTTTTGTATAATTACTATGCTAATCTTATGCTAATTTAAAATCAAGCATTTCAATGCTGTATGTTCATTATAAGCAACATGCGCTTATATCCACGCGTGTTTTATTAATAAAATTAAATGAAAATGTCGTATTTGTATAATGAATGACGTGGGATTATCTATACGCCACAGACATTTTACTGAATATAATTGAATAAAATCGAAAGAGACGGCATCATTTACATAAAAGTTCACGAGACTGTAACTTCTTATATACCCTGTAACAAATCATATTCTTCGAGGAGGCGAAGTTGAAAGATAAAAATTAAAATACCAACATTTTCATTCCCCTAAAAACATTGGCTATACCTATATCGATATAATACTTATAATTTGTTGTACTCCAATGATCAATAAAATTAAAAAAAAAAAACATAATTTTAATGGATATCGAATATCGAGGGAATTGGATATCGACGATGTACAAAAGTACGATTTATGTTACCGTAACAACCGAACTTTAATTCCGCGCGGAGATGTTGCAAAAACGTTTAACCGATCGCTCGCGAAATTGCGCTACGGCGATAAGGGGAGAGTTAATGATGATAGCGTCGGACGAAGGATAACTCGAGGGGCGAGAGAGAGAAGAAGGGGATGAAAAAAAGCCGAAAAGGGGATGCGAGCGGATTTTCCGCCGTATATAGCTGTTTTTATACACCTGCGGTCCTCCGCGTTGGCTCACGCTCGCGTGAGCATTTGCGCGCAATGCTCGGTTAACGACCGCGTTATCTCGAGATCGCCAATTTGTGATCGCACGACACGGTATTTGAGTAACGAGGAACGCTGAGCGACGCGCGGCGTGAAAGACCATATCGTATATAGAGAAATGTCGTTCCCGATAAATGTCAAGCATAAACGGCAGCCTTAGGCGAAACCGTCTCCCCGAGCTTGCGTCATTTCGTGATCTCCTCCTCATCATCGTCCAACCTTTGTGCGCATCGTGGAGTAGCTTGTCAGAAATTTATTCGTATATGTGCATATAATTACGCGATTAGGCTAATCGCGCGGGAATCGTTGCCGATTAATTTTCCGAACGAATCGTCATGAGAATCTCGCGACGTGACGCGAATCGAACGCGATATATTCTTCAGAAATCCTTTCACATTCGCGCGAAGCGAGCGCGTGGTGGAGAAATAAAATTCGCGCGATTTGATTCGATCGATTATGAAGAACACGTGCGCGATTAAGATACGGATTTGACGATAAATTGCGAGCGTAACGACTTTTATTTTGCATTAACGTCGGGAATAACTCTCGAACGCGAGAATTACGACCGTCGATCGCCCATCATTCTCAACTCATCGTATTAATTGAATATTTCCCCGCGTAGGCATTTTTTACGAGGATTTTTTTTTTACGAGCGCGGGATGTGTAAAATAAATTCTCGTATCTTTATCATCGATTTTTATTTTATCACCGCGACGGTACGCGAGAAGAAAAGAGGTCGCGTTCTCCATACCCGCGGGAACAAGAGCTCTCGTTGCCTCGAAATATGTCTCTTGTGCGAGAGAGCTGGTCGTTGGGAGGATCCTCCCGGTTGGGGGGATATGTATCCGTCGAGAATTATCACGAACAGAGTTCGCCCCGGGGCAACTTTGCACAAACACGCGCTCTCGCGCTCCGCTGCTTACGCTTACGGTATCAAGTCGGTCGGAAACGGGCGGGTTAAAGCGGACCCGGGGTGTACATTCGCGGATCCAAATAGCACGCACGTGTTCGCATAATGAGATGTGTGCATATACACCGAGGGAAATTTATCGTTAATTTGGATGCGCGAGTCTCTTCAAATCCCGCGACTCGCTTGCCGAGACAAAGTTCGTTAATGCAGTTTGCCGATACAGCGGATGAGAGCGAGATCTTGTTATAGCACGAGTCACTGGTGAGGGCTTTGTACGGGATACGGTTGAATTAAATATCGGGGAATAATAATACTTGCACATTCCGCGAAAAAGTAATCGCGCGAAATATTCACAGGATTTGTAGGACGCGACATTTGTAGGATTTCTAATAGCTATGTATAGTAATTACTTTTCGTAAAATATATCTTCCCGGCATTAATATTAAAATGAATTAAAAATTGTAAATTAAATAACATTCGAAGGACTTTGCTGTCTTAATCTGTATGTGCGATTTTAAAAATTCATTTCAATTATATAATGTAAACTCTCTCTTCTCAAAGGACTAGTTAATTTATATTTGACATTCGTCTACCTCTACGTTGTAGATCAAATAAGCTTACGTCATTTTAACGTGATACGCGAATTGTGATTATAACGAAGTCTTAGGAATAAGAAATAATTGCTCGCACACGCCGAGTCAACATATCGAACGTATCCGTTCAAATTCAAACAGGACGTGGGAATTCTACGTGGGAATACACAGTTAATCCGAAATATTATTGCGTTGTGCAAATTGCGAATATCCTGATGTTTCGGAGTAATATTAATATTACTCCGTAACATCACATGTAGAATGAAGAGTCGTACAACACGGTCCTACATTTAGGCATAACGAGGAGCCGTGTACACAATATACGCGGGAATACGAGGAATACACTCTCGTTCACGTATACAGGGTGTCCGGTAACTAACGGACCAATGATTAAGGGCGGATTCTCTGGCCAATTTGGAGACGATTTTCGAGTTATAAGCGATTGAAAAAAATGGGTTTTTTTTTAAACTAAACGTTTTGGAGTTAAAAGTCTAACATAATTACATTCTTCAATTAATTTCAGGTAAAGTTTACTATAATAAAATTTTAATTTGAGGCTTGGTTATAAAGATACATAATGACAAATATTGGAAAGTTGTAAAAAATGATGACCTTTTTCGACATTTTCGCTGAGGAAAAATCGTTCCCAAATTGACCAAAGAATCCATTTGTGATCGTTGGTTACCGGACACCCTGTATATACCTACGTACGCGTGTATGCGAAAATGTAATCGGCGTATCGCGCAACCACGCTGCAGCCAGCGGGTTCTCCTCACGCAAGCCTGTTTACATAAGTCCGACCCGGGCTCGTCGTCGTCGACGACGTTCCCTGCACATCGCGGCCACAGGTGGGCATCCCATTCGCGCGTTTCACGCACCGTGCTCCGACGAGCTGAACCGGAGAACCTGTTCCCTTACTCCATCCCTTTCGAAGCCCCGGCGTGTATCTCGCGGGGGTCATCTCCGCTCTCGACGACACTCGAAAAGTCGAGAGAGAAGAGGAATTTCGCCGCCGACCAACGTTCTACTAGCAAGAGAGAAATGCGGACAACAACGCGGAATTATCCGCGCTCGAACTCTTTGATATGGGGGCTGATAATGAGATGTTCCGCGAGAGTTTGTATGCTAAAGTTCAACGGTTCAACCTCTTTGCATATATATGCATACATTTGATACGATTGAACACAATTCTCTCCTTGAGGAATAGGTGAATTAATTCGAATGGAAATTTTGCTCCTATTTCCAATCTCAGTTTTCTCACGTTCGTGGTTTTACAGAATTTTCATAGGTTTAATATATATGTATATTAGTAAACGAATAATTTTTCATTTCAAAATTGAAAAGAAAGACTATACACAAAACTAGTAATTAAATATAATAGTTTGAAAAGAAAATGATCTCTTTCAAAATATTAAAATAGATTGAAAATTATAATCGGAAATAGGAGACAAATTTCTCGAGTCGGGAAGGTATAATTAAATTGATTTGGAAAGAGATGGAACATTTTTCTTGGAGAGATGCACGATATTTCCGAGCAGTTCATTCGAATAACGATCTTATCGTGGTATGAAATATTCAAGAATTCCGAATCTTCGCGGAGAAGGAAAATACTGGGGAAACACGGCGCCACCATAATTCTGACATGGCTTTTTAAAAGGAGTGTTTAACGGGGAAACGAGCTACTACGGAAATATTCGAGGACCTCTCCAACTGACCGCCGTCCAGGCGTCCATCAGCCTGTCATACGTGGGCGACGATGATGTCTCCGGTAAACCGAAAGTTTTGTATAAGGTAGAGCAAATAAAAGGACTTACATTATGTAGCACACACGCAGCTGACCGCTCGAAGACTCTCACGAGGGACGACTCTGCTCGAGTATTTACATCCCCGTGTAAAAAACCTCAGCGGGTGGATCTGAAATTAGAAGAAAAAATATGTCAGTGAGATCGATAGAAATGAGAAAAGGAGGCCTGAAAAAAATTATATTATTAATTTCTAAAAAAATTAATTTTTACAAAACTAATTAAAGTTTGATAGCAATCTGTCGTTGCGTTTAACAGCTGTATATAATCATTTGTTCTATACCATTTATTTTACACAGGTTTCAAACTTTTTTTCTGTATGTGAACATAGAACTATTATGAGAGGAATAAAATCTTTAATATAGCTTATGAAAAATTTAATACTTCAAGATACATTTCTTTTATATCGAAAAGTAAAAATATCGGCCAATTATGAAATATATATTGTTCTTCTTGTGCGTCCCATAAGAATTCGTTCTATTTCAAATTTTTCTCACAAAGCTGAGAAAGAAAGATCGAAGTTTAGTTTCAAAGTACACTTACACGTTTACAAGACACGCGCAAAAACAATGGAAAATTCGCGGCGAATTCACGCGTTTTATATCACGAGTTTTAGATAGGTTTCGTTCGAGAGCAGAAAGTTCGAAATACTACCCAAGCAGTTTATCCCCGCCAGACGTTTCGCGAGGATTTGTGAGTTGACTTTGTCTTATCGAAGATAGCAGACGCGAAACTTTTGCGAAACACCTTCTCTTTCGCATAGTCAACGGTGATCATGATATCGCAATGTTTTTTTTGTCTTACGGAGCATTTCTCAATTCACTGCACTCAATTTACCTGGCTCTGAACTGTATTATTGCGACTCTAAAATCTGGAAAGTCGACTGTTAAAATTTATCGTTCACAAAAAATACTATTATAGTAATATTTATTATCAAACTCACATTTCATTTTTCACGAAAAACCCATATGATATCGCCTATGATAAATTGCAATGGTTTTCTCTCTCGAATCCCTTCACAGTTGAATCTCAAAACAGACATTATGATAAATTTTTCGCGTCTATTCTTCGCTATTCTTTCATCGGATAGTCTCGTGGTTCAAGAATTTTCAGATTCATCGCGGTCATAAGTCTCGCGGAACTTTAAAGACACTTCTCGGCTTAAAATAAACGATTTCGATGAAACTGGATAAATCGACGGGGTTGCGAGCCGCCGCCGCGAACGAATCTCATTAACGTTACGAGCGTTCACGGCTTTGAGATAGACCAGTCTCTAAGGACGCGGTGTATTATGATCCCGTATGTACAGGTGTATGTGTACATGCATACGTGGCATTTAAACTAGACCAGGGAACACTCCCGCCGTCCATCTTTTACGAGCGCTTTATCTCGCCAGACTTCACGACCCGACACCACATTACGCGCACCACATCCAGAGTTTACAGCACCGTCGTCGTTTTACGAGGCTCTCCGCGTGTCCGGCTTCTATTCTACACCCTCGTCGCCGGTGGTCCGTTTTGTCGGGAAAATTCTGGTATATATTGTTACGGAAGAACCGCTTCATCGCCGTGAATTCCCGCCCGATGGCCCGATCATACACTCGCGCGCGTGCGTTCTCTAGCGTATTATATCGCACAAGATAAAATCCTTCTAAATGAGAATGCGTTTAAAACGGTACGAGCCATTATATGATAAGAGCAGCTTGTTCATGCTATACAGAACTGGCGGATCAGTTTGTAATGGCAGATTCCTGGTATCATTCGGAGACGATTTTTCCTCAGCGAAAATGTCGAGACATCAATAATTTTCGAATTATAAGTTGTTGAAAATAAAGGTTTTTTTAGTAACTAAGCTTTGTGGAAATAAAATATTAACAGAACTACATTCTTCAGTTAATTTTAGGTAGAGTTTGCTTTAACAGAATTTTAATGTATAAGTTCTAATAGCAAAAATTGGGAACATGATGACCTCCCTCAACATTTTCACCAAGGAAAAATCGTCTCCAAATGATAGGAATATGACATTAAAAACTTTTCCATCAGTTCTGAAACACCCTGCACAGTATCTAAAAAATAGATAATATTTTCATAGTATTCTCTCTCCGTAGTGTGAACTAGTTTTGACTCAAGTGACTTTCTTCGGTCAAAGATTGATAACCGACTGAATAAACTTTGCTTCTTTTTGTTATTACGTCTAGCGCAGGCCTCTCTCCAGTGAGATTAATAACCTCGACCGGAAAATATATATTTTATTATTACATATACCAAGCGCAGGGCCGTCGAAAGGAACTAATCATCGCCGAATTCATCAATCTTTCTCACGACCAAGATACACACTGTCACAGATTCCGGACGCGTTCGCGCCAAGTTTCGGTTCGACCTACGCGATGCCGCGGCACGTACACCAAGGGATCGCGAGAGAAAGAGCCTCTTCCTCATGTCGGCGGTTCAATCAACCTTGTGTACACGAAGGGATAACAATTTGCTGACGCGCACGTGTCGTCTGCGGAAGGAAGGATCGGCGGGACAAGAGCGGGATGAGGACCGGTTTGAGTTATGAATGCGAATTTCTTTCGCGAGCTGCCTGATTACGGGGGTGGAAAGGAAAAAAAAAGCGGGGCACAACGTCGACGGAGCTTTTCGCCGTGACGCGAATACATCAGTCGCTCCACTCGCGTGTCTCGAGTGGGACCTTCTCGCGGCGCGATAGGGATGGCCGGATGGATAGGGAAAGGTCTGATTATCGCGAAATATGATGAATATACTTCATATTCTTTTTCAGCTGTGAATACTCTGAAAGAATTTCTATGGCGAGTAAAATGTAGAGATAAAATTTCGGAGAAAGTAAAATTGTGTATTTGCATGTTTATCTAATTTTATATACTACCGGTCTAAAAGATGACAAATTTTATTTTACTGTTTGAAAGTTGTCGAGCACTCAAAAGCATCAAATCTATTTAAAACAAAGTAGTTGGTCTTGATAATTTCGCGTACAATGTCGTTGGTATATCGATTATGACCAATAAAATATCATTAATGATGTAAAACATTAAATGGTACTGATACATAATTATTGAGCGATTATCAAAATAAAAATTGCGAGAAATTATTGATTAATACATTTAGAGTGTAACGTGACTATAAATACAGTCCATTACAAATTAGATATTTTATTCAACTCATCTCACTTATACATTTATTTGATATCAGTAATTATAAATAGGTTTAAAAAAATCTCTTCGCAGAAATCTATTCCCAATATTATTTTCCGTAGGTCTAGAACATCCTACATATATCCTTAATAGCCTCATTCAATCCCAACAAACTCATTCACGAGCGTGCCCGCTCGCATTCCAAGTGTCAAAGGGCGGTAGATTATTTTTCCATCGTCTCTCCCTATCGTGCGAGCCGATATCGCTCGATCATTCATTTATGAAGGCGACCAGCGAATAACGGGCGATTCCATAGGGTCGTATGGTGATTGCTTTATTCAATAACCGATCTACGGACGGCCGTCACGGGAAATTTTCGCGAAACTCGACTGCCAAATGAGCCGTGAATCCTCCAGGATATGGCAGTGCGCGGCTACATCGATTGGAAAAAAGTTTATCCGCGAGAACGGTGGATAATTCCATCCACCGGTCTGAAGTGCGATTCCCGAGAGACGATGAGCGAAATAAGATATCCCTTCACCGCCGATCGTGTCCCCGCAAGGTTTAAGCGAATCGAGAGCAAATGCCTTTTCCCGAGTCGCAAAGGCGAGTCGGAAATCGAATTGACTTTACGTTACGGCGGCAAATTTCACATATTGGCAATTTCTTTTTCCTTTTCCTTTCTTTTCCACGCGCGCGAGCATCAGACGCTCGGAATTTTATAATAGAATTAATTCGCCGTCTATCCGTAAATCGACTTTCGAGGATGAGGTCTTAATGAAGTGACGCTAAGAGGACTGCGCGTGCCGATTTAAATCAGACTTTTCTTCCGTGAAAGATTGATGTCTCGGGATATCGATCTAACTTTGTTCATTATCGAATTGACATTTCTTCTGACGTATAAAATAGATTTATATTATTTTTATATTATTTTCGATCTTCTTAATGTAATAAAAATTATTTGTCATAAAATTATAAAAGAATATGTATTGAATATCTGATGAGATGTAACGCACATGGTTTTTGTTCATAAATATATTTCAAAGCTTTTTTTATTTAGTAAAAAGGAATATTTTTAAAAATTCTAGTAATGTTTCTGTATGTCAAATATATTTAAATAATACGGATTTTTAAAAAATAAAAACACGTAGGGTTTAAAATTCAAAATATTCACATACATGTACATTTCAATAAAACTTTCATTCGAGAGATGTATCGAAAATACATATATGTATACATATCTTCTAATTTCTCCACTGACAATGAGATTAGAATCCCGCCTAAAATTGGCGGGAAAATAGCGCGAGCGATAGTTGAACTCTACCGGGCAAAAAAGAAGAGCCACGGGCGTTATCGCGAGACTTGTAGAGACGGCAAAGAGAGAGAATCCGCGGAAATTTATATCATGACGATGATAAGATCTCTCTCTGTTCTCCCCCACGCGTTCCATTCGCGCGAACGACCTTCCGCTCCTAATTTCATCTCTAGTACTCGTTCGTTCCTCGGCCTTTCCTTATCCTCTCGGCGATAAATCCGAAACGAGTCACGTCCACAGACACACACCGAAAGGTGGGAATAAACGCTTTGTGGCGGCGCCGCGCATCAAGAGCCACCGTGATGCGGCCAGCTTTGATCTCCGGAGGTGTGAGTGGAAAAAAAAGTCTCGATTCACTTCTAGTGCTTTGACCCGCGCACGTTCTCTCGATCCCGTCAATCTATCCGGCTCTCTCGCGATCAAAGACTCGCCAAGGATCTTTCGATTTTCTCCCTTCTCTCTTCCCTTTATTTGAGATAAAAAAGATGGCAAGGGAAAGAAACGCCAAGAAACTTGGACATAAACGTATGGATGAAACGGGACACGAGATAGGGGAACCGTTCGGGCTTCGATTGACTTTATCGTCGTGCAACCCCGCCAGCCGAGCTGGGGGAGGTTTACTCGAGGGAAATCAGCCTGATAATCC